TGCATTGGTCTTCAAACCTACTTTCTTCAGGCCATTACTCAGCAAGGCCTTGGTCACTGCCAAGCTGTCGCCAGAGGAAGTGGCTCCCGAGCCACAAGGAAATCTCTCTAGCCAAGGGGATTAGCTCTTCTCCAAGCCTGTAGTGCATGCAGAGGTTTTTCCTTCTCCCATTTTGTTCCTGGATGTGGTCAAGGAACAGTGCGCTTCTCCTTTGGCAGATCCTCGCCCATCTTCTCTGGATAAGCGTTTCTGCAATGTCAGCACAGCTCTGGACAATGCCTTGGCAGTGCCTTCTGTTAACATTCCGGTTCTGGCCTCATTCTCATCTTCTGGCACTCCCACGGAGCCAGAAGATATCCTGAAACTGGATGATAAACATTCCGAACAGACCCTCAAGCGCAATCACCAGGCCGCTGCTTGGGCTGTTTGGGCTTCAACAGCAGCACCCTTTTTCACGAGGGCATCCAAAAGGTGGCTGCGCCAACTCCAGAATAGATTGCTTGTTTCTGACCTTCAGTCTCACCAAGACCTTAAGATTGTCACAGTGGCGGAATTCACTGCGGATGCCACTCTCAATTCCTCCAAATTTGCATCCAAGGCCGTTGCATCTTCTGTAGCAGCAAGAAGACTTTTATGGCTCTGAAATTGGCAGGCGGAGTCACGCTGAAAATGGAAACTGGCTTCAGTCCCATTCGCAGGCGATAAGCTTTTTGGCGATGCTCTGGAACCTTATCTCATCGAAACCAGAGATAAACGTAAAATTCTCTCTTCCTCTGGGAAGAAAGCTGACTATCGCCCTGCTCCTTATCGCCCTCCTGCCTTCTGAACGGAGACCTCATTTCGCTTCCCCTGCTCTCAAAGGCCGTACTCCAAACGCCAAGACCAACGGGTGGAAGCATCTGGCAGGCAACAACCTTCTACTGGTAAATGGCCCTTTTGAGGGGGAGGGGGTCATTCTGTCTGTCACTCTAAGTAATCCCTCGTTCTCCCCACCCATCGGAGGTCGCCTAGCCTTCTTTGCCTCCAAATGGGAGGAGTCAATGACGGAAGCCTGGGTGCTCAGCACTATTAGGTCAGGGTTACAATTGGACTTCCTAACACCACCCCCCAAATTTTTTTTGATCTGTCCTGTCTCTCGGGACATTTCAAGGCAAGCCTTCAGACCATTCAGCATCATCTTGAAGTCAGGGCTATTCAACCTGTTCCCCCCTCTCAATGGGGACATGGGCTTTACTCTCGCCTTTTCATCGTTCCCAAAGCCTCAGGGGGGTGGCAAGCCACCCTTGATGTAAAATTTCTCAACCAATTTGTAAAATACAGGCGATTTAAAATGCAGACTCTGCATTCTTTTTTAGAGAGCGTTCGGGAGGGCAACCTCCTCTCTTCCACCGATCTCACTTACCTCCACATCCCAATTTGGCCTCATCATCGCCAGTTTCTCCATTTCTGTTATCAGAATACCCATTACCAGTATCGAGCACTTCCCTTCGGCCTCTCATCGGCTCCAAGAATTGTCACAAAGGTTCTGGCAGCATTGATGGCATCTCTGCGTTCTATTCCAGTGATGATCCAATGCTACTTGGACAACATTTTGATTCTGTCCTCTTCCATCCATGTGGCCCATCGGGATCTGCAAATTACCCTGTCATATCTCCAGAGCCACGGATTTTCCATTAACACCAAAAAGAGCCAGTTCTCTCCCACAACCAAATTGCAACACTTGGGAGCAGTCTTCGATACCACATTGTGCCATGTTTTCCTGTCCCCAGCTCGAGGAAAGAACCTTGCAGAGATCATCAGCCAGGTCCAGCAACATCAAATTGTCCCCCTGTCACTGCTGTCCAAACTTTTGGGGAAGATGGTCTCCTGTATTGGCATTGTCCCATGGGCTCAGCTCCACTCCCAACCCCTCCAATGGTTCCTGCTTCCCAGCAACGAGCAGGAACCAGCCACTCCTCCATCAAGGTCCTGCTCCCACCACAAATCTGGAGATCTCTCAGTTGGTGGCATTCCCCATCAATCTGGAGGGGGCTCCTGTTCAGGGACCCAGACAGCCTAGTGATAACCACCGATGCCAGCCTCCTGGGTTGGGGTTCCCATATGCAGGGTCAGATAGCTCAGGGCATTTGGTCCAGATCAGAGCAGACTCTTCCCATAAATTGGCTAGAGCTCAGAGCCATATTTCTGGCTGTTAAGCATTTCAGGCAATCAGTGACCGGCTCTCATGTTCTAGTCCTTACGGACAACATGGCCACAAAGGCTCATGTCAACCGGCAAGGGGGGACAAGGTCCAAAGCCCTCATGAGAGAAGATCTACGGTTGGGGTTATGGGCAGAGAAACACCTGTTGTCAATCTTGGCGGACCACATCTCCGGGGTCGACAACTCCCAGGCTGACTGGCTCAGCAGGAACCTACTCGACCAGGCAGAATGGTCCATTCCTCCGTCTCTATTCAGGGACCTTTCCCTCAGATTCGGAACACCGGAGGTGAATCTCTTCTCCACTCCTCAAAACGCCCAAGTCACCAGATTCTTCACCAGGTTTCCTTGCCAGGGAGTCGAGGGGACCAATGCTCTTCAGTGCAGATGGTCCAAGGGTCTCCTCTACGCCTTTCCCCCGCTTCCCATCATTCCGGCAGTAATTTGGAAGACGTTGGAGAAACAAGCAGAGCTTCTCCTCCTGGCACCCTATTGGCCAAGGAGGCCCTGGTTTACGGACCTGGTAAACCTGTCAGTGGCTTCTTCTTGGAGGATCCCAGCCCATCTAATCTCCCTTCACCAGGGGGCCTGCTCCACCCAGAGACCCGGTGGTTCAAGCTGACCATGTGGCACTTGAGCAGCAGCAGCTAGAGGAGGCCGATCTTCCAGAAAGGGTCATCCTCACTATCCTGGCATCTCGCAAACCTTCTACAAGGTGCATCTATGATGCCACCTGGAAGGCTTTTTCCCGATGGTGCCTCAGGGAGGGTCTTTCTACTGCTTCAGCCCAGTTGGCAGAAGTTCTTAGCTTCCTTCAGCAAGGGCTGGAGAAAGGTTTGGCCCCCAACACCTTACGCAGGCAGGTTGTGGCCCTCTCCTCGGTCCTTTCACGGGGGTTCGCTTCCTTCCTTATCCCATCACCATTCAGTCAGGAGGTTTTTGAAAGGGGCTTCCACCTGCACCCTCTAGTGGTTCACAAGTATCCTTCCTGGGACCTTCATATGGTCCTTAATGCCCTTACAAAGCCCCCCTTTGAACCCCTTAGAACAGTGTATCTCCATTTCCTGACTCTGAAGGTAGTGTTTCTTGTTGTCATCACTTCTGCCAGAAGGGTTTCCGAGCTTGCTGCTCTTTCCATCAGACAGGACCTTTGTTCCTTTCACGATGATATCGTTGTTCTTCGTCTGGACCCCTCATTTATTCCGAAGGTTAACACCTGGTTTCACAGGTCCCAGGACATTGTTTTGCCTGACTTCTGTCCTCTCCTGCACCATGACTTAGAGTGGCAGTGGCACACGCTAGACATAGGAAGGGCTCTTAAAATATACATTAAGCACACTTCCTCCTTCAGAAAGTCGGAAGTCATGTTTGTTTCCGTTTTCCCCTTCTCACTTGGGGCACAAGGCCTCTTCTCCTACTATTAGCAAGTGGGTCAGGTCTTGCATTGAGCAGGCCTACAAAGCTGTGGCCCTTCTGGTTTCCCGAGGTCTGATGGCGCACTCTACCAGAAGCGCAGCCACTTCTGCTGCCTGGGCGATCCAAGCATCCTTGGAGGAGATCTGTCGTGCAGCCACATGGACATCCCTGCCTCCTTTCATCAGACACTACCATCTGGATGCCTTTGCCTCGGCAACTGCAACCTTCGGCAGATGGGTACTTCAACAAGTGGTTCCACAGTTGGTGTGATGAGCCAGACGAGGACCCGCCCGTGGACATGCAAGCTTTGGTATGTCCCATCCTGGGCTCTCGATGCAGTATGGAGGAGAATGGGCGTTGGTGGAGGTTGCCACGAACGCCCTTTCTATCTGTGCTGCAAGAGAGCCCAGCCCCTCCCTTGATTTGTCCAGAGAGGGTAAGACATATTTCTGTATTCATTTTGGGCTTTCAGAGACACCTTTCAGTCTGTCAAGTATCTTCGCCAAAGCTGGGGTCTCTTTCAGGGGCTGGCTTTTATATCTTAGGACAGACTCAGCTAATCACGTCATAGGAAGGAGTCAACCCATCCTGGGCTCTCTTGCAGCATCGATAGAAAGGGCGTTCACCAACTTCCAATCTCAATCATTTGCATATTAAAGCCACATGCATTTTCATAGTCACCTTCAGTCTTTGCCAGTTATTATAGCTTCTGAGACAGTCCTGAATTGTAATTTTTTCCCCACTTAATAAGATGTATGGTAGCTTAACTGGTTGCTGTTTACCTTTATTATTCAATTAGTTCACATTCTTTACACATATCTAGGGAACAGTTTCCTGTTTAAAGTGAAGTAGGACGTCTTTGGGTCACAGCTGATAAGTTGCTATCGTCTTGGATGTTTCAGTAGTGGGAAGAATGTTCTGGCCTTTTTCAGTTCTTACCGAGTCCTGCTTTATTGGTGGCAAAAAGAATTTCCTTAACATTTGAATAGCTCCACGTTCACTAAAGAAACTGCTGCATATGTTTGCTTCTGTAAGCGAGTGCCAGGAGATCTCCCCTTTCTCATTCCTTCTTCTAGTCTCCCTCTGAGCGATTCCTGAATTCTTAATGCTGTGTGGCCTAACAAAAGACTTTGGAGTAAGCATGTTGAACATAAATAACCCTGATCCTCAGGTTTTTCCCAGACTAAAATAAGTTCAAAGGATTTTTTGGTAGCTATAACTGTGGAGAAAGTATGGGAAAAAGGTATATGCTTGCTGTTTCCTCAAGTGATTTTTTTAAACAATTCTTGTTCTTTTATTAACAAAAAAATCCCCCAAAGAACATACAATATTATAAAAGGGTGGGGAGAAGAAAGCTAAAAAAAGAAACAATATAGGACATATAATCACAATTATAGATGTATGTATGTATGTATATATATATATGTGTGTGTGTGTGTGTGTGTGTGTGTGTATAAAATCAATAATTTCAATATTAATATCAATATATCAATAGGTATTAGATATATGGATGGTGGTAACAAATTATGCCTTCTACTCACTGAAATGTTTAACTGAAATGTAAACATATGTAAATGTAAATAAATGTAAACATTTCAGTGAGTAGAAGGCATAATTGGATACCATCATCCATATCTAATACTTATTGATAAATTATTGATTTGTAAATTGCTGGTGACATTGGCTCTGCCGACACTGAATAGTTGGAGCTTTGTATTTATATTTCAAATGCTATTGAATTTCTATTCTGTCTTGTTCTTTTTTTTTTTTTTCTTATTTCACATTATACCCCACCTGCTCACAATAGGATCCATGGGGGATTCCTCTAATTGTTTGAATATGTACAATAATAACCTTGTGAGTTAAGCTGAACTGGGAGAAAGTAACTAGACTTCTGTTTTCCAGTATCTGATTAAATGGCACTATTGACTGAGGAATTCCCCTTGGCTCTTCCTATTTCTATTCTAGACCCCAGTGTACACATGTATCACCTCTCCTGCAGGAGCTGCATTGGTTGCCAATTTGCTTCTGGGTACAATTCAAGGTGCTGGTTGTCACCTTTAAAGCCCTTCATGGCTTGGGTCCGGGTTATTTGAGGAAACATCTCTTGCCAGTGATATCAAGCAATCGGCACTTTGAATAGCAGTGGGAAACAAACTAGCAACTACTACAACTCACAAAGCAGAGGTGTTACAAAGGCTCTACTTCGTTCTGGACTAGCAGAAGCTCCCAGGCGGTCTTCAAGGACATCCCTAAAAAAACAAGTCTGTTCTTTCTTTTAATGGCAGTTTTTCAGATATTTGAAGACAATTGTGATATATGTCCATGGAACCAGTGATTCAGCAACTATTCAAAGTTACAGCAATGCTGAAAAAAAAGGAGATTTATTGATTGGTCCTTGAGTTATGACTATTGGGACATCCCCACTGTCATATGAGTGTGATTCAGATGTTTGGCAACAAGCACATATTTACAATTATCACAGCATCCTGTGATCACATGATCACCATTTTCAGCCTTCGCAGTCAGTTTCCAACAAACCGGCAGGAAATAGCAAGTTATGGGTCATGAAACTGACACTGTAAATTGGTGTGGTCATGTGACATTTTACTTAATGACTGCCACTTACCATTATAGGTGCTGGTCCCAATTTCAACTGGTAAATGAGGACCATCTGTATATGTAAAGGTACCATCTGTATATCTAAACGAGGACCATCTGTATATCTAAAGTAAAGGAATGCTATTTTAATGGGACTGGGACAACATCTTGGAAAAAATTGAACTTCTGTACTTTGTAAAACTTGACTGACAGTGCACTTCAGTGCACTTTAATGCTTCATGATGGCCAAGTTGTTGATTCTCTCAGAAAATAATACAATTCTATACTAATATAAAAACAATTATAGAGTCTAATATGAAGACTTGAGATAAATGTTTGTTTATCCTTGTAAAAATTAGATATTGGAAGAGGAAGTGGAGAGTGATATGTGTGAGTTTTGGTTAAATGCCCCAATTTGCTTTGCTCTCAAGAGTATGCACTGCAGGCTTCTCAAACTCCAGGCTCCAGATGTGCTGGGATTGCCACTTTCAGAATTTTCAGTCAAATGGGTTGAAAGGCAATCTGGGAGTTGAATTCACTACATTTAATTCTCCTTTGGATCAAGCTCAATTACTGGTTACTTCATGAACACACATCCAAATAGTTTTCTTGGCAACAGTAAAAAGTGGTTTGCAATTGCCACTTTTGGGGGATGCTTTTTCAATTACCTGGCTGAGGCCATTATATTTCCTATTGGGTCTCCCATCAAAGTTCTAACCAGGTCCAACTCTGCTTAGTTTCCAGGCCTGGGCCAGGTCAGCCAAGTGCTACCATCTGCTGGGACAAACATAGTTTAGCCTATTTTTTTTCTGTCTGGAATTAGTGCTGTCCTTGTGTTTTTCATTTGTTTGGTACTGCAGTTCAGTTCGCCTTTGAAGATCATTGTCACTAAGTTGAAAGAACACTTCATCTGTTGCCCAAAACCACATCTAGATTTTGGATTTTTAGATGCAATTTTGCTTGAAAGTTGTGGTATTAGCAAAATCTACACAGTCTGTCTGTTTCTTGTTTTAGTTTTGGGGGTTGAGAGGAGAATAAATAATGCATGACCGACTTTCTAACTTGTCTGACTTAAAAGCAGAAGATTTAAAATAAGGTGAAGAATTTATTTCATCCTGAAGCAATGAAGGTCACTAAAGAATGTAGAACTTCACCTTGTGATAGAGAGGTTCCAGCTAGCCATTGTGGTTGGAAAGAAAGAGGAAAGAAGAAGATGTAATATAGATAGTCAGGAAAATTTGTTAGAGAGATTACATGTAAATAAAGATTTGGTGACTTCATTGACTTTGTTATATAGTATTTTTGGAAACAACCTGAATGAGGCATGTAGTTGTTTCTTTTCAAGTTTTAACTTTTCAGTTAGTAGAAGCAGCCCTGGAATTTCCTGGTTGTCTGTCATCCATTTACTAACCAGATCTGGCCCTACTTAGCTTCCAAGTCAAAATATGATCAAGTGCCATGATCTGCAAAGATTGGTCATGCATGATTTACTTAATAGTCTTAATACTTAGGTGGGAGCTAAAAGCAGAAGAAAAAACACAACCCATTTCCATTTATATTAGATTTATTTTCAAAAATCGTTATGTAGTAGCCATAGTGAACTAGATTTAGATATATTAGGGAGAACTAAGGGCATATGATAGGCTGTCTCTCAAAATGGATGCCACAAAATTTATCCCTTCAGAAAACTGCTACTGTAATAAGCATGGCTAAGCACAAATGGTCACAAATGTCTCTGAAGGGATGTCTCATTCTGATAAATGTTGAAGTGAAGCATTTCTTCAAAATAGGAATGAAGGCACAAAGTAGGCACCTCAAGGATGAATTGCCTTGGTAGCCCATTTGTAACTCAAATGTCAAAGTGATTTTCTTTACTCAGCAAAATATTTGGTTGAGGTTTGACTGATTTTGGCTCTGTGAGGTGTTTTGCCTCATTGAGGCAGAACACGTTGCTGTGTCTCTTTAGCAAGCCAACATTTTTAAGGTGGACTGACCACAATCCACACTGGCAGAAAAAAAAAACTGTTTACAAGAAACCCTATTGCAGTTGCTTGCTGCTACTTTCCTTCAGAAACTAAACTCAGTTTCCTTTTGCTCTTTATGCTAAGCAGGTGGATTTGCTTCCAACCACTGTGGCAAGAATGATGTTGATGGAGTCTAATGTGGATGTTCTGGTGTTTTGCTTTCTGCATTTATTTATTTATTTTATTTGTTTGTCAAACATGTACAAGATAACAAGTATAGGTATGAACATAAACATGAACAAAGGAAGTCAATACAGATAAATGGGGATAGTAAGACAGGATTGGTAGGCATGCTGGTGCACTTTTGCATGCCCCCATTCCTACATCTCACTTATTTTGCTAATTAACATTTAAAATGAGACAGATATTTGTGTTGAGGACATCATGTTGTGTGTTCCTGAATTAGGAGAACTGATCAGCCACATAGTTCAAAACACTTTTTATCAATGTTTTCAGTGATGTCAGTGTATGCAAACTAGTTTCTAATATGGGCATGGCATACTGGCCTGTGTTACTAAAGAATAGAGCTGGACGAGACCAGAATACAGCTGGCTGTCTAGTCTTTTCTTAAAAACCTCCACTGGTGAAGCACTCACAACTTCTGAAGGCAAGCTATTAATTGTCCTCATTGTTATGAATTGTATCCTTAATTCCATATTCTCTCCTTGAATAGTTTCCAACCACTGTTTCTTCTCTTGCCTTCTGGTGCTTTGGAAAACAAGCTCACCCCCTCTTCTTTGTGGCAGCCCCTCAAATATTGGCTATCTTGTCACCCCAGTCCTTCTTTTCTCTCAACTGGCCATACCCAATTCCTGCAACCATGTTTCTTCTTCTTTGTACTTTTTCCAAGTTTTAACATTACATATATAAGAGTTACATATATTGCTGGGATTAATGTATACAAATTATTTGAGTTCTTACCAGGGGTGGGATTCAACCGGCATTACTGCCGGTTCGGTATTTGCATGCGTGTACTACACCATTACCTGAGCCACCAGGAGAGCTGATAAGTGCTGCGCGCAGGAAATAAAGGACAGGTAAGAGCCCGGGTGGGCCAAACAGCAGCAGACACAGAACCGGTTCTGTGTCTGCTGCTCTTCAGAGCTACCAGTTCTATAGAGCCGGGCAGAACCGGTAGCATCCCACCCCTGGTTCTTACTAAAGACAAAACAAAAGTGTGTTCACTTAGTGTCTAAGGAACTGTGAAGCAATTAGATCTTTCCAAAACTGACAAGAATGCTGTTGATGAACAGAGCAGACAACATATCGTGTAGAATAAAATACCTGAAGGTTGAATACATTTGGTATTATGACAGTGTCTAGCTCCTTTGTTATGAATTAAACTTCGTGAATGTATGAAGAAAAAATATTTTTGGAGCACTTTTTATTCTACTCTTTGGCAAAATGAAAAAAAGGCAAAAAAGATTATCTGATTATTCTAAAAGGCTCAGCAGTAAGGCAGTTCTTGCCATATAAAAGGTACCTGACAGGAGAAGTGAGAGAGGAGAGCATTAGAGCAAGATCTCCTGTGTTACAATAAAAATTGGAACTTTCATTTCTAAGGGAAGTTCTTCAAAAAGAGAAAGGCAATTTACTCACAGATGACAGCTGTCGATTGTACTGCATTTCTAATTGAACCTGGCCTGCAATAAAAACCATAACTTTTAAGTTAGTAGATTTTTCCTCTTTTTTTTCCCAGCTGGGGGTCATCTACAAGCATGATCAAGGCTTTCCACATAATTTTTTTCTTATGCTACCAATTTTACAACCTGCCATCACAATAATAAATTTATGAATTAT